TGAAACATTTACTCTTCAAATTACTAAAATATTGCATTATTAGAGTGCTATCTGAAAGCCACTAATATAACCATTCACTTTGTTACTTTCACTAGTCTCCATATCGGTTTCCCTCAACTAGTAACCTTCTTTCCAATAGGAAGACCTTCTCAATCTCTACTGCTAACACACTCAGATCACTCTCAAACAATGTTCTGCTTTTCCCACTATTGCAAGGTTTAAAACAAAACAAACATAACTTTCTCCATATTGGAAGGAATTGTTTTAATTTTAGTCTACCCTAACAATGTTACTCTATATACAGTTGAAGTCAGAAGTTTACATACACCTTAGCCAAATACATTTAAACTCAGTTTTTCACAATTCCTGACATTTAATCCTAGTAAAGATTCCCTGTTTTAGGTCAGTTAGGATCACCACTTTATTATAAGAATGTGAAATGTCAGAATAATAGTAGAGAGAATTATTTTTTTCAGCTTTTATTTCTTTAATCACATTCCCAGTGGGTCAGAAGTTTACATACACTCAATTTGTATTTGGTAGCATTGCCTTTAAATTGTTTAACTTGGGTCAAACGTTTCGGGTAGCCTTCCATAAGCTTCCCACAATAAGTTGGATCAATTTTGGCGCATTCCTCCTGACAGAGCTGGTGTAACTGAGTCAGGTTTGTAGGCCTCCTTGCTCGCACACGCTTTTTCAGTTCTGCCCACAAATGTTCTATAGGATTGAGGTCAGGGCTTTGTGATGGCCACTCCAATACCTTGACTTTGTTGTCCTTAAGCCATTTTGCCACAACTTTGGAAGTATGCTTGGGGTCATTGTCTTTAACTTCCTGACTGATGTCTTGAGATGTTGCTTCAATATATCCACATAATTTTCCTTCCCCATGATTCCTCTATTTTGTGAAGTGCACCATTCCCTCACAGCATGATGCTGCCACCCCCGTGCTTCACGGTTGGGATGGTGTTCTTCGGCTTGCAAGCAACCCCCTTTTTCCTCCAAACATAACGATGGTCATTATGGCCAAACAGTTCTATTTTTGTTCCATCAGACCAGAGGACATTTCTCCAAAAAGTACGATCTTTGTCCCCATGTGCAGTTGCAAACCGTAGTCTGGCTTTTTTATGGTGGTTTTGGAGCAGTGGCTCCTTCCTTCCTGAGCGGCCTTTCAGGTTATGTCTATATAGGACTCGTTTTACGGTGGATATAGATACTTTTGTACCTGTTTCCTCCAGCATCTTCACAAGGTCCTTTGCCGTTGTTCTGGGATTGATTTGCACTTTTCGCACCAAAGTACGTTAATCTCTAGGAGACAGAACGCGTCTCCTTCCTGAGCGGTATGACGGATGCGTGGTCCCATGGTGTTTATACTTGCGTACTATTGTTTGTACAGATGAACGTGGTACCTTCAGGCGTTTGGAAAGGTCTACAATCTTTTTTTCTGAGGTCTTGGCTGATTTCCTTTGAATTTCCCATGATGTCAAGCAAAGAGGCACTGAGTTTGAAGGTAGGCCTTGAAATACATCCACAGGTACACCTCCAATTGACTCAAATTATGTCAATTAGCCTGTCAGAAGCTTCTAAAGCCATGACATCATTTTCTGGAATTTTCCAAGCTGTTTAAAGGCACAGTCAACTTAGTGTATGTAAACTTCTGACCCACTGGAATTGTGATACAGTGAATTATAAGTGAAATAATCAGTCTGTAAACAATTGTTGGAAGAATTACTTGTGTCATGCACAAATTAGATGTCCTAACTGACTTGCCAAAACTATGGTTTGTTAACAAGAAATGTGTGGAGTGGTTGGAAAACAAGTTTTAATGACTCCAACCTTAGTGTATGTAAACTTCCGACTTCAACTGTATTTATTAATAATTTCTGTTGGATATTCACTTTCTGCTTCACACTTATTAAATGTCTATTATGTTAAGATTAACATGTAATGCGCTGAATTTATAAAATGCATTGGCCAATTCAGAAGGGAAGAGACACTTTGGAGGGAGCTTCCTTTTTTAAGGTAGCTCTCGAGACTAGAGTCTCTTTCTGGGATCAACTTTCACAATAACTGGGCTGGCACTGTCTATCAGTCCCCTATAGATGGCGTGCTCTGTCCATACTAAGTCTCTACCTAGCAAGTTAAACTCTAGTAACCCATTATACTATTCATTTCTCTTAATACTTTTTACACCACTTACACTTGGGTGTGCAAGTTGTATATTATTATTATTTTTTCTATTGTTACTTCATCAAATCTCTAGTAACCCATTACACTCTTCTTCACAAATTCCTCCTTTACACCAGTGTTCTATTCATACAGGGGTTTAAATATTTACTCTAGTGTTCTATTTAAGAGCATATTCTGAAATAGCACTCTCTCCATTCATATCTCCATACAGAATCCCTATATAACGTTATACATCAACTTAGGTATTTACATCCACACCACCAGCAACGATCACAGCCTCTCGAGGAAATCTCAGTGTCCGGGGGCATCAATGAACTCTAGCCTTCATTGTTACAACCCTTATCCATCTCAGCTGTTACCCTCTCAAATGTTTTAATGGCTTCTCCTGTCAGTGCTCACTACATGTAGATCGACGGGTAGTGGTGGACAGAACCCCTAGATAATGTTATAGATTCAAAAACTCAGCTAACACAGAACTGGTTGGGGTATCCATTCATTCCACGCACTCAGTAATCTCCCATATTACCTCTTTCACACCGGAGCTAGTCCCCTGACAGCTCTCATTCACTCAGTACTTAATAGTAATAATATATTTTAGTATTCTACATTTTAATATTCTTATTATCCAAATTTCAATCAGCTTAATATCCACATTTCTGTCAGTTTATTATCCAAATTCCAATCGTCCTTTCCACTCACACCCACTTCATACTATTCCCAAACACACTCAGTAACCTCCCTTATTACTCCATGTGCATCTTCAACGATTCTCCTGTCGTTACTTCTTATGGACCATATGTATCTTTCCATACATATAGAATAGCACCTTGTGCTATTATCAGTGGTTGCAGACCACGTAGACACTTCTCTTATAAATGCCTACAGACAGCTGTCAGCGGGGCATGGTACCATTACTTGCCCTCGCTCTAGTCTTATCTCTTAAGACTAGCTTCTAGCCTTCTTCCACATCATATGTATCTTCAACGGTTCCTCTATAGTCTCTCCAGTCGCCATAGTCTCTACAGTATCTATAGTCCCTGAGCATCCATAGTATCTATGGTCCCTATAGCATCATAGTCCCTACAGCATCCATAGTATCAACAGTTTATATAGTCATAAATGCTATGGTCTCTATAGACTCTATAGTCTTGCTGCTTCCCATACATATAGAATAACACCTTGTGCTATTACTTAAGACTAGTGGTACCCTCCTTCTACATCTTTGTTTATTTTTAATGGTTAAATTATTATTTTTATAAATTCATTTAAATTGACTTACTGAAATCAGTTGCTGTGTCCCTCAATTGTTAACGGATGCGTCTCCTCCTGGGCAGCTCACAGTAAGGGTCTGGGCGGGTCCTCGTCCTCTTTTTGTCAGACGGGAATTTCCCTCACGCTTCATAAAATGCGCCATGGGTTTTCCTCACAGACCCTCACTGGAAAGCTCCGCAGGCAGAACCAATCAATCCTTTTCATGATGCCAAATTGTCGTGGAAATTCTACACAGGGACACTCGAAGTCAATCTTAAATGAATAATTGTTTATTAACAGCAAGCTGGAGAGGTCACAGTCAAATTTATGCATAAAGTACTGTTCTGAAGTGAGCTCCATCGGGCCCATCCCGTTAGATCTCTTATATACTGCTTACACAGACAAATTATATTAGCATGATTTCGTTCATGCATATGACCAACCAATACTGGTTCATGCATGTGACAGACCAATACCTCAAGAGGCTTCTTCTCTCCAAGCTGAGACCTTGAAACTGAGATATCCCTTTCTCAAAACAAGGTTCTGGGCATACTGCCAAATTGCAGATACTGATAGTGAGGATTCTTTCAGTCACTTGCATGAACACAGAAATTGCTTATTAGAAAAGCACAAACAATAAAAAATTCCAATACAAATGTTTGCAGTTTTAATATGATATCGGAGTGAGAGTAACAAAATCAAACGGGGTCCCCCGGTCGGTAATTCGACCAGGATTAGATTGCTGGCTAGACTAATTTACCAATCTAAAAATGGGGGGGGGATTGATCCGCATTTGCCTATCCCTGTTCTAGGTCAATGACCCAACAAACATAAACATGATTTGTAAGGGCTGCAGATGCTGCATTACGAACATGACAATATGTCAACAATAAAGATGCTGAATGAACAGCTGAACAAGATATAATAAAGGAGATGGTGCATTTGTTGATCTTTGAAAAAACAATTAGGATACTAAGTTCTTATGCCATCATTTCACAATTTGAATGTTTTTTGTGTCATTTAGCAGACGCTTTTATCCAGAGCGACTTACATCCAGAGTGAGTGCATACATTTTTCATACTGGCCCCCCGTGGGAAACGAACCCACAACCCTGGCGTTGCAAGCGCCATGCTCTACCAACTAAGCTACAGGGGACTATATGCCAAATATAAGGCCACTTGTATTTATGTAGCACATTGTTTTTGGCTTATTAGGCCTGCAACTGCCTTAACATACAAAACAGCAACTTCCCTATGAGTGTTGTAAACTGGAATATATTGTTCATATTTGTTTTCCGATGCAAAACGTTTTACAGTGTTACTAATGAACGCAACCCAGAATTTGCAGGGCTACGAGGTGAAGATTCCCCTATATACAGGTCTAGGACCAGCTTCCCCTCCCTCACTCCAAATTAGTGAGGGAAATGCAAAACTGTCCCAAGATCAGCACCTAGAGGCAACTTGACCCTACTCCATTCGCAAGACCTAAGACCTAGTTCACATGATGCTGATGTGGTCAGCCATGGTGTCCCTGGAGTTCCAGTGGTCAGTGATGAGGTCACAAAGGTGACTGAGCGTCCCCAGTGCCGTGTCCCTCAGCTCCAGGTCTCGGTCCAGTGGGTTGCTCTTCAGGGTGAGGAGTAGTCTCTCGGGAGGACGGTGGGTCTCCAATAACCTCCCTAACTCCAGCAGCTCAGGAGGCTGGATGAAGTTGGAGCTATCAACGACAAGACAGGAAATACAAGATACAGAATGGCTATGTTCCGATTTGCCATCCTTCTCTCAAAGTTTGCAGTTGTACACTCTCCATCATGGATTTAACAGTGGTGGAACTGGAAACTCCCTTCAACCAATGCTTACACCAATCCATGAATGGGAGTTTGCAAGCGCACACTTTGGGGGAAGTGTGGAGAATCGGGACAGAGCCCAACTCTCATAAAACAAATTAGGCCTCTACACAAAATGCCAAAATAGCCTACGATACGACTGAAATGCTTATAACAGCTACTTGCCTGATGTCCAGTTCTTTCACTGTGCTTGGTGAGGGTCCTTTGAAGAGTTCCCCCAACACTGTCACAGTCTTGGCTAAAAGGACAAAATAAAAATAGCTGTTTTCAATTCATACATTCCATTTCAAAAAACTAATTCATACTGTCCAGAGGTGTAGTAGCTTCGCGTGATGTATTGTTGTCTCTACCTTCTTAACTTTGTGCCCAATAATGTTTGTACCAAGTTTTGTGCTGCTACCATGTTGTGCTGCTACCATGTTGTTGTCATGTGGTGTTGCTACCATGCGGTGTTGTCATGTGTTGCTGCCATGCTATGTTGTGGTCTTAGGTCTCTCTTGTTGTGATGTGTGTTTTGTCCTATATTTCTATTCTTAATCCCAGCCCCCGTCCCCGCAGGAGGCCTTTTGCCTTTTGGTAGGCCGTCATTGTAAATAAGAATTTGTTCTTAACTGACTTGCCTAGTTAAATAAAAATAAAAGGTGGCGGGGGACGTAGCAAGAAAAGTCTGAACGAAACCTTTGAAACATATCTAAATTGGCCTCTTACCGAGGCGGTTTTGAGCCAGGTTGAGGGACAGGAGAGATGGAACCTTTTTGAGAGAATTAACCAGCTGTCGGACAACATCTTCCTTGTCACTGCATTTCTCCAGAAGCCGACAGTCCTTCAATGACAACGCTGTCATTATGGAGCAGACAAGAGAATACAATTAGGATGCATCCCAAATGGCACCATATTCCCAAACTGATAATTAATATGAATTTTGATACATCATTTGATACAGAAACTACTTCATGGAAATCTTTCTTTACCTTCCAACATACAGTAGTTATCCAGTAGCTGGAAGATTGCACAGTGACAGTCAGACAGGTTGATATCCTCCAGGATGAGTTCCTTCAGGTGGCGATTGGACTCTGCAACAGCAGGAACACAAAAACTATTTAACCAAATGAATTAGAACAACACAATAACCATTTTACCATATGGGAGAAAATACACCGAAATATATCCTACAGCTATGAAGAGTTGCACATGCACAGTACATAAAGTTATTGCTGAAGCAAGTGGAAGCACACTAATAAAAAAAGACAGATCATGCATATTCTAGCCCATTAGTCTGCTAAATGACTGAAATGAAATGTAAATTATGTGAGCACAGCAGCGTCAACTTACACATACAAAACTACTAGACAATAGCACTTGAACGCACTGACTAAGTCGCTCTGGATAAGAGCATCTGCTTATTCTAAATGACTAAAATGTAATGTGGTACTTGTACTCTACGTTGACAGTGGTTTTAAATGACTCCATGTTACCTGCCACTGTGTTGAGGAGGTGGCTGGGTGAGAAGCTAGTTGAGCTGTTGATTCCTGAGACGTGAAGTGAGGTGAGGTGAGGAGAGCGTAGCAACACACACATCAGACTCTCCACACTGGTCCTCAATTTGGGTACTTTCACACACAGCTTCTCCAGTGAGAGTTCTAGCAATGGAAAGTTGGGACAAGTCTCAAATACAATACAAAAAGAAATGCTCTTTGTAGACGTCCAATTCTCTGCTACTCAATTTTAGTATACTCAAGTATACATACATTTATATACCATTGCTTTATAAATGCGTATATGCAATCTTCATGCCTTAATATGTTTACCTTTCTTATGTTCAGATTTCACTTTTCTTGTTAAATTAATCTCACCTAACCCTACAACTCACTAAAACTTGACTTTAGTTAAAATCTGCATTTCATCCAAGACTAGGATTACTCGGTGTCTGGTAAACCGGCCCCATAAACTACAATAAAACAAAAACATATTTAATCCAGGTTGGATATTAATAACTTTGCGTGGTCTATATGCTACATTGTCAGCCACCTGCTTGGTGTGCAGGCTGGGGAATCCTTCTCAGTGGGGCTCTGTGGTACTCTGCTACAGGGTGGATCTCCATGGAGAATGACCTGAGGGTGGGGCATGCATTCAGCAGGGACTCCATGAGAGCAGGGTGGGTCAGGGACCCCACACTCAGCTCAATCAGGGAGCAGCCTGGTGTAGCAGACAGCTGCTGGAGAGACTCTGCCAGGCTCAACGCATCACCCTCCTCAAAGGTCCCTGCAGACAAGAGGCATCAACAAGAGAGACACTAAGGCCGTGTCCCAAATGGCACCCTATACCCTTTATAGTACCCTATTCCCCTTACCCTGGTAGTGCACTATATAGGGAATATGGTGCCATTTGGGACCCATAAGATTCCAGCACTACTTTTGACCAGGGACCTTAGTGCACAATAAAGTGAATAGGGTGCCATTTGGGATGCAACCAAAGAGTGCATTCCACTTTCATAAATGTCCTTTTTAGCATACCACTGCTTTGTAATAAACACATAAAGCAGAATAGACTGTAGAGATTGTACACTTACAAGCACTTTGCAGGCTTAGAGAGTGGAGGCACAGCCAAGAAGGCAGGAGAGGAAGTAGTACAGGGAAGACTCCACCTCTGATATCATTGATCTTTACTGAATGGATTTGTCCCTTGGAGCAAATCTCTGTCGAGTGACCAGCCGAGGGAATAAACATCTGGCACAGTGGCTTGGGGACCATACATTGGCATGGGGAGCTGGTCAAGTCAAGCTCTGCCTTCGCTGAGGCAATACTCAACCTTGGATGCTTGCATGGAGTCCCACCATTATTATCCACTTCATCAGGCTCCTCTTCCTCTGGGACCTGGCAGTTGGCTGCTTCAGCATCTCCAGCAGTGGTTCCTGCAGTGTTTGCCACTTGGGCACATTTGACCATCTCACCTTGCCTGGACTCCATTGGACATTGGTGGCTTTTACTCTGAGGTCCCCTGCCGTGAAGAATCCAAGCCAGCAGACGAGGATCTGGGCTCTGGTTTATGATGACTTCACTGGCTGCCCCATGGTCCAGTAAACGGTGCATGGCGTATAAGACATCGCTGGGCCACTCTCTGAGCTGAGTGCTCTCTCCCAGTTGAATGCACCTTACACCCTTCTCCAGAACACTCAGAACAGACCTCCTTGCGAAGAAGTAGCCGTGTGGTCGTGATGTTCGAAGAACCAGGTGCTGGATGTATTTGGCCATGACCAAGAGAAGGGAGTTAAAGTTGACATTCAGGAGGTATTTTGTATCATCTCTGAACCTGAAGCCATAGAAGGCCAAGTTAAAGAGCTTATGCATGCTTATCGCCCTCCATTCATCTTCGGTGAGTATGGTCTGG